GCAGGTCTCCCACCTTTGCTTATTTTACTCCTTTGATTCCCCATCTCCCACTCTATCCCCTCTTTAGTTACTTAGGGACTCTAACCCTTCTTTAGATACAATCATCACTGTAAATCCAGATTGTCCACGCTACAAACTCTGGTAAAAGCGCTGTCAACAAGTTAACAGCGGACAAAACAGGGACTCTAATACTTGTAATTCTACTCGTCTCTGTTAATGGAGGATCAGCCGTGTGAGATGGTAGAATCAAAAGAGCACTCTAAGCTTTTTATATAGTGTTAATATCTAAAAACAAATGCAAATGAAAAAATTCAAAGGATATTTCAAGTCTGGCTGGTCTACAGGGCATGTCAAAACTGAGAAAAAAAGATCGCAATTTACATCATGATTCAGGTTAAATAGATTTTTTGACACTATTTTTGGGCCAGATTGCCCACCCCTACTTAACTCTCACTTTTTTATGTGCAGGGTTGACGTGCAAGTCCAGAGGTTTGCTTGTTCCTTTCTCAAGCCACGGTAGGAAGACGATCATCAAACCCAGCAAACCTAAAACCACCCACGGTACCAATACACGCCTTGAGACACACACACACACACACACACACACACACACACACACACACACGAAGGAGGGACAAACATTTCTGTTAAAGTATGAAGCACTGCATTTAAATGCAGTAATTTTAAGGCTACACCACAAAATATTAATCTGAAGAAATGTATTGCGCATGTGTCAACACATGTGTCTCAACATGAGAATTCACCTCTAACTTTTAAACTTGTATGACAATAATTCACAATATTGTGCATTTGCTGATAGTTTGCTTCGTTTTGTTTGGATAAAAGTACTGTTGTTGGCACTAATCTGTTCTGGTCAAATAGGCTAAATTATATTGCACTGTCCAGAAAGCCAGCTGCCTCTCTGCAAGTTGTGGTAGTTTTAGGCCCTGACCAGAAAGACCAGTTTTTGCAGTGAGAGGCAACATCATTTTTTTTCTTCCCCCCAGAGTCCAGACTGTTATTATCTATGGTAGTTCAATGGAAAATCCTGTTCATGTTTTTAACAATGAAAGTGAAAATATCATGGGACACTCTTTGCTTATCACTGCTGTAAAGTTTAACTTTCGCTCTCTGAGGTTTTTTTTACTTTTTTCACCAACACCCTTTCTCCCCGCTGAAAAAGATTCCTATATGGAAAACATGTAGAGCATCTCTTTAAATACCACAAGTTAAACAGACAGATATCAAATCACATGGAAAAAGAACACAACTGTATGAACTTGCAAAACCATGAACCACAGTTGTTTCAGAAATGTCTGACTATGAGTACAGCATTTAATTTCATGTGGGAACATGATCAACCTGCTTTCCTACTGGGGCTGAATGATGAAGTAAAAGCTTCTCCGTTCAGTGAATTATATATTAATTAAGAGTGATTTTTAAAATCAACATCATGAAAAGTGTTCTCAAAACCCCCAAAATCCCCTCCAAGCTCACTTTTTACAAACTCAAATGTAAAAGGTAACGATTATCATTAGGTAATAATTAATGGGAAACACTGATGACTGTTGAAGTCTTATTGGCAGATGAATCATATGCCAAACTTGTGTTTATTCAGCCATGTGAAAGGTCAATGCCGAAGAGCATGAACTCTACAAATACACTGGTGAAAACTTTCAGATGTGGGGATATTTTGCAAATGTTTTTTAAAATTATTTTCCAACCATAATCCAGTATGGTAAGTTACATTGGCTTTTTAGGAAAAATCTTGAGCTCTTGTACCTTATTACCTTACCCTTCCGGACATAAATTTAAGGAGCTCAACTCTTTTTGGTTTGTAATTCGGATATCAATTCATGTGTCCAAGAGGACTCAATTACAGTTTGCCTGACAGTAATTAGGTTTGCAGTCAAGATCCAACATACACAGCTATTTAAAAGGGCAGGTGGTATGGTTGGGCCATTAGACGATGCCATCGTCCATCAGCGATGGCTGGCAGATGGTTGAGTAGGCATCGTGATTGTAAAACACCGTCCCCTGGCAAACAAAATATTACCACCATGTGAAAGCATGTTTTAATCACCACGAACATTCCTCGGAATTGTCTTCTCCGCACACTCAGACACACAAGGGGCCTACACCTCATTTAAACACATTCACATTTCAGTGAGGAATAATAAAAATATGCATTTATTATTTGAAAACATATTAAAGCTAACATACAATTCACAGTGTGGCTCTGTGAGGAAACCCCCTGCTTCCCCCCTCCCAACGTACGTGCATTTTGAATTAGCGGGAGATTCCTGGTGGCAATGCACATATCAAAACAAAGCAAGCAGCTCAGAATGCTCCAAAATGGACATTAGAAAATGGTCCCAAACCCTAATAAACTGTTATATAAATTTATCATTCTTAATCATTTTATTAATTATCCTTACTTTAAATCTTTTTACCTAGATGTGCCTTGTCTTTACTTAGATTGCTGTATTGTAGACATGAATACAGTAACAAGCTCACTGTGGTTAGATCTTTGAGTAGGAGTATTGACTGCAGACGCTGTAACTATGCACGCCTTGTTCTACTGTTATCTACTGTAAATTATGACTAAAGGAGAGGCTGCAGGTGTCCAAATCTGCTGACGCTGTGACTGTGTATGTTTTTTCTACTGATGTTAAGACTACATGTTTAATTACTGATTAAGAGTTTGTTTGATTATCAGCTTTCAATCTCTTATTATTATAGCCTGTGTGAACTCTGAGTGAACTTGCTGAACGAAAATGCGACAGATAGATGATGAACTAAAACACGGCAGAAACTGGGTGAGCAGAAACGCGACAGATAGATGGTGAACAGAAAACAAGACAGACTCAGCCAGCACTGTATCAAGACTACTCTATGAAATCAAGAAATAATGAAAGATACAGCAATTAAATGTTATTGTTGTATTAATTTTTTAAGAAATACAATTTTGTGTCAAATTATGCCTGTATAACTTTTGAAAAAATACGGTGAGACTGAAGTTGAAACATAATGGAGAACTTCTTTTCCAGTAATGTAAAAATATAGAAAGTCAACACACAATAATGAATAAACAAAATGGCAGCAGAGGATAAGAGGTTTACCATAAGGAGAGGAGTAGTTAAGCCAACACAGAGGTGAATATAAGGCGATGTCTGCTTCGACACCATCCTCTAACCTGCAGGGATGTCGGTCGGGTTTTTCTGTCCTGTATTGTAATAAACTGTTTTGCAACGACTCTTGACAGTCTCCAGAGAAGTTTTTGACTGAAAACTTATAGACTATAGTAGAAAGCTAATAAGAGTATTTTTTAACTAAGTTTAATAAGTTGGTGAGGGTGGGGACCAGGCTTTAACTGGCCCAGCCTGGCCGTACAGCTGACCCAACAAAACCCTAACACTGAATCTTAAATGACATACAGTGGGTACGGAAAGTATTCAGACCCCTTTAAATTTTTCACTCTTTGTTTCATTGCAGCCATTTTCCAAAAATCAAAAAAGTTCATTTTATTTCTCAGTAATGTACACTCAGCACCCCATCTTGACAGAAAAAAACAGAAATGTAGAAATTTTTGCAAATTATTAAAAAAGAAAAACTGAAATATCACATAGTCATAAGTATTCAGACCCTTTGCCGTGACACTCATATTTAACTCAGGTGCTGTCTATTTCTTCTGATCATCCTTGAGATGGTTCTACACCTTCATTTGAGTCCAGCTGTGTTTGATTATACTGATTGGACTTGATTAGGAAAGCCACACACCTGTCTATATAAGACCTTACAGCTCACAGTGCATGTCAGAGCAAATGAGAATCATGAGGTCAAAGGAACTGCCTGAAGAGCTCAGAGACAGATCTGGCCAAGGTTACAAAAAAATTTCTGCTGCACTTAAGGTTCCTAAGAGCACAGTGGCCTCCATAATCCTCAAATGGAAGACGTTTGGGACGACCAGAACCCTTCCTAGAGCTGGCCGTCCGGCCAAACTGAGCTATCGGGGGAGAAGAGCCTTGGTGAGAGAGGTAAAGAAGAACCCAAAGGTCACTGTGGCTGAGCTCCAGAGATGCAGTCGGGAGATGGGAGAAAGTTGTAGTAAGTCAACCATCACTGCAGCAATCCACCAGTCGGGGCTTTATGGCAGAGTGGCCCGACGGAAGCCTCTCCTCAGTGCAAGACACATGAAAGCCCGCATGGAGTTTGCTAAAAAAACCTGAAGGACTCCAAGATGGTGATAAATAAGATCCTCTGGTCTGATGAGACCAAGATAGAACTTTTTGGCCTTAATTCTAAGCGGTATGTGTGGAGAAAACCAGGCACTGCTCATCACCTGTCCAATACAGTCTCAACAGTGAAGCATGGTGGTGGCAGCATCATGCTGTGGGGGTGTTTTTCAGCTGCAGGGACAGGACGACTGGTTGCAATCGAGGGAAAGATGAATGCGGCCAAGTACAGGGATATCCTGGACGAAAACCTTTTCCAGAGTGCTCTGGACCTCAGACTGGGCCGAAGGTTGACCTTCCAACAAGACAATGACCCTAAGCACACCGCTAAAATAACGAAGGAGTGGCTTCACAACAACTCCGTGGCTGTTCTTGAATGGCCCAGCCAGAGCCCTGACTTAAACCCAATTGAGCATCTCTGGAGAGACCTGAAAATGGCTGTCCACCAACGTTTACCATCCAACCTGACAGAACTGGAGAGGATCTGCAAGGAGGAATGGCAGAGGATACCCAAATCCAGATGTGAAAAACTTGTTGCATCTTTCCCAAAACGACTCATGGCTGTATTAGATCAAAAGGGTGCTTCTACTAAATACTGAGCAAAGGGTCTGAATACTTATGACTATGTGATATTTCAGTTTTTCTTTTTTAATACATTTGCAAAAATTTCTACATTTCTGTTTTTTTCTGTCAAGATGGGGTGCTGAGTGTACATTACTGAGAAATAAAATGAACTTTTTTGATTTTTGGAAAATGGCTGCAATGAAACAAAGAGTGAAAAATTTAAAGGGGTCTGAATACTTTCCGTACCCACTGTATATAGCAATTTGTCATACTGAAAACATACTGTATGCAGGAAGTCACTGGCTTGAATAACTATAATTGCAAGCAGAAAAACCACAAGTTCAGTAAGAGGTAAATTAAGAAGGCAGCAGGCCCCTAAAATGAGGACGGAGTGTGATCGGTGTGTGTAACAATAAGCCGATTGTTAAATCACAACAATACCTTTTTTCTTGTCCTGCCTCCAGTAGTAAAACCAAAGTGTTTATTCCTGTGGAGTACATTCTAGTAGCCCCGTTTCCATGGATACCCTGTTTGGTTTTATATGGATATGGTACAAGTCAGTTAACCCCTTCTACCTGCTCTGTCTCCACTGCCAGAGATTAGCAGAAACGTGAGAATGGGAACAGATGAGTGCCACATAGAGCCCAGGTATGCAAGAAAAGTCCTGGGATGCCAAAGAGTAAAATGTAGAAGTAACTTACTGGTATCGATGGCCCACTTCAAGCAATGCCTATTATCAAAATTGACACCACTTATCTGTGAAGCCGTAGTCCACAGGTTTATTACATTCCGACAAAAATGGCTTTGTTATGTTGGCAAAGGTCCAGACAATCCAATCCAGTAAAATATTTATTCTAAAACACATTATTATAATACACAGGGACTGCTATTGCGTCGCTTTATAATAGCCTAACTACAGTTGGCGTGTAAACAAAAAAGCGTCGACACGTTGACCTTTTGAGTAACACCTTAATTGACCCAATAGAATCTTCCATGCCCTGTTCACAGCCTACAATAGCCAATAAGTGTTCACGTAGCCAGGAAGTGCCAGTCTCCTTTCTTCCGTGTATACACTGTCAGAGCCACCGAGCCACCAATTGTGCAGAGGAAGACTGGCGCTTCACACACACACACATAACACGCGGCAGTTAAAAAAATATGCAAGAATATTTTCCACAGACATATTTATATATTGTTGAATAAAAAATGCCTCGTGCTGGAGAACTTTAAGCTCCGCGAATACAACCTCCGTCCACACCAGCAGAGTTGATCTCTGTCTAACTTAAAACGAGTTGTCGTTCACGTACAATGGGCATGCCCATGCCAGTGTAAACATCAAGTTAACGGCTAAATCTAATTATCGTGGCGGACGACAAAGCCAGGGAGGCTTGTTGGCATCGCATTGAGTAAATCTGTAGCCTAATTATCTTCACAGTGTTCTTAATGTATGTATTTTATGGCCTCTTCTTTTATGTGTAATATAAGATGTACAGGTACAACTGCACACAATGTCCATTGCAATAGAAAAAAGGAGCCAACGGAGAGGGGGAATAATCCGAGACAGAATTTAATTACCAAGATTAATCTACAAGTAAAAAAACTTATAGTCTCTGACATTAGAGTCACACATTTATGAGAATAACTTCACTTTGCAAGGCTGCAACATCACACACACATTTGCCGTGTAGTAGGTTATGCATGCACTGGAAAGTTATATTAAACTTTGCAATTGGAATTAGCAGTGAGGAAATACTCCTGAGTTTAGCCCACAATCACTATCATGCACCTTAGAGACTTTGCCTTGGATTGGCCGTATTCAGAAGAAAACACCAGAGTGATTGAGTTTTTATGAAATTAATTTCAGGGAATTTCCGATTTTTCTTCTTGTAAATTTCACACTTTCATCTAGGATTTTTTTTTCTCGGTTTATTAACCCTCACCCTGGCTCCCTATTCTTTGGACAGGTAAAATAGTCTATCTAAATATGTGAAAACACTTCAGTTATAGCCTAGAGATGGGCTACATCTAAGAAACTATCCCGTTAAGTAAGATTCCTCTTTAAAATCACAGAGGCTGCAGGGCTCACTCTCTGAACGTAATGCTGTTGTGTTGCAGTGGAACAAATCAGGATGAAATCTAAACATTTTATGAAGCGATGTGTAGCCTATTAATATCCTACTTCTCATCATCAACACTGAGAACAGATGTGGTGTGTAGTCCCCGTATACAGGATAACCTCGAGTTAACCACAAACAAAACCTGCTCGGAGCAGTTTAGAGATGCGGTGTAAATTGCCATGGCAACAGACCTCGGGTAACACCTATCCACCTTTCGTAATACGGGTTAACCGGGAAGTTACACCTGACGTCACGAAGTTACTCCTGAAGTTACCTAGATAAGCCAGTTACCCCGCTTCGTAGTACAGGCTACAGGAGTCTTTGTGGTGTGTTATGTGAACGTTACCTGTGTGCTACCCATCGTTTTGGAAGCCTCATATTGTTCTCATTTGAAGTGGATTCTGTGAACTTCTCTGTTTTCTCTGCTGTAGCCTGAGGCCCTCTGGCTCTCAGAGGCAGTGTCCTGCACACACAGGGAAAGTCAGATGCAATATTTTAGCCACATTAGTGAACAATGCAAATTGGGATACTAAAACAATCAATGTATCATTGTTTTTATAAAGCTCAGTGACTGCATGAAACAGTGGCTCTATGTAATGCTGACAGTTGTGTCGCAGCAGTGCAATTTCTAACGGTGGAACATACAGACCGATGTCATTGAGTACTGTGTTGTACTGGAAAATATTGTAATTGGTACTGTATGTAGTTTGGCCAGAGCTAATGTCAGCACATTATCATGAGAGTAAACCTATGGGCAAGGCACTTAAATCAATTTTGCAATACCACAGCATTAAAATAATCTGTTACAAGTAAATGTCCTCTATTCAGAATATTACTTGTGAAAATGTACACACGTATTAAAATAGTAAAATATACATACAGTATCAACAGCAAGACTACCCCCCCCCCCCCCTTAGTTTAACTTACTTGCTTAGTTTAGCCCAATTCCTGGATGCCTATAGGATCACCATTATGTTAGCCTAATATTGCTGTTTGAAATAACTTCAGACTACACCAAATATATAAAATGTGTAAGGTTAATTGCATTTATTCTGACAAAGTGGGAAACACAGTTTGCTTCCCCAAAACTATTGTATCTCTGAAGTCTCTTTAGTCAAATCACACACATTTAGGCTATTCTGTGATCTCCTTTCGACAGATTATGTAATAACCAATATTAATATTATAATATATAACGTTACACTGATGTTTTTCACTTCCATTCACTGAGCCCCCTGGGGAGGCTAAAAAGCAGCATAAACTATAAATACTCCAGTGCAGTAAGCCTACAGGCATCTAAAAAATTTTTATTTAACTTGCAGTACCGTTTGCTACTTGAGTAACGTTAGTTAAATATACTTTCTCTGGCCAGTAAGCTAGCTTTCACTAATGGAAATGTCAGTAACTCTCTCCCAAGACAGCTCTACCATCTCTTTCTATTCAGCTTGTTTTTTTATTAATAACACCACAGTTGCTACCACGGAATATTTTTGGGAGTATCGGCCAAAAAGTGGTTAATTAAAATAGCCCCTAGCTAATGTTTTGTGATAAATGAATTAAGTTAACGTTACTGTAACATTAACGTTAGACCCCTGGCCGCATGGAGTTACAGGCGAAGCATGTTAGGATAATGTTACCCACAAAGCGCATTTACTTAACTTCTCTAACCCTAAATTGGTGATACTGCTGATGGACACCAGCCGAATAAAATAACGTTACTGCCACGTTCGCACTTGATTATCAAAGCGTCACTTAAGTGCCACTTTTTTTCTTTTTTTTTTTTTTTAAATAAAATGGCCTTTGAACATGAAATGTCTTCACGCATCGGGTCTCGGCAGTTTGGGTTATTTGAGGTCATGTTAAATCAATCCAGACCACCCCAAAGAGGGGTAACGTAAACATAACAACGTTGGATAGCAGAAAACACAACGAATATTAAAAATGCCCCTCATATAGTTTGTTCCTTGGTCATTCGCGGTGGAACCGTTAGCCACGACCAGACTGTCAGCCCCGTTAACCGCAACCGTAACGTACTCAATTCTTGCTTCTTTATTTTGACGTTTTCAATTAACGTTATTCACTTACCTTTCCATGGATTCCACAGTTTCGTCATGATATAACGTTAATCGCCCAGCTATAACGTTATCCCGTGGCTCGTTATCCCAGCTTCACTTATTCAGTGAGGTGGAGCCAATCACCGGCCCTAAAAAGTCGCCATCATTTCCGCTCTTTTCGCAATAAAAGCCCAAAACCATCTCCCTGACTTGTATCCCGTGAGCAGATGCTAACCCGCAGTGTGTTCACTGATCCAACACAGAAATGAACCAGTTTTATGCACATTTTAACTTTCATTTTATTATTAAATACAAAGACAAAAACAGATAATTTGTCTACCACATTTTATGCTTTTAGGAACGCCACCGTCTGTGGATATTGTGAAGAGTTTTTGTGTTGGGAACTCCCAATATGTGTCCTTTCATAGTCACTGCTGAGTAATTCTCCAATAGGGAACTTTGATCACTTCACAATGCCAAGGTTACATTCATTTTCAAATAAATTCATTCAGGAACAATATTCTTTAAAACACAATAACAGTTGTCACATCCACCACATTCAGTAGGGATTGAGATAAAGTTGTTATTCCTAATTATTTGCCAGAGAACATGAGTTTGCCATGGGAGCTTGAGTCAACAGAACTGGGAGTGAATCCCATCCAGTTCTGTGATAATAAAGAGAATCCCCGCCAGGTGTCCTTATTTGTTACATCCAACCAATCGGACTGTGAGCTGTCCTCTCCTACTGCAGAGGTTGTTTCAGTTCAAACAGTCCTGTTCCACCTTTGACTACCTTCCCCACCACCAGGCAGGCCGAGGGGGACACCAGCTGATCGCG